AGAGAGAGAGAGAGAGAGAGAGAGAGAGAGAGAGAGAGAGTGAAAGCGAGCGCTGGCTAAAGCTCTGAAAGAAAAACCTTCGCTCGGAAGCCCACCCGGGTTTCAACCAATTTTTCTTCCCCAAGGAATGGGAAGCAGTCGGCTACTGGGGGTGGGGAGGTGGGGGCACCCAATTACTGAGGGAGGGGCAGGCGAGGGAACGTGCCTGGTTTAGTATCGGTTCTATTTTCTTCCATAGGTGTCTTAAAAAAAAAAAAAAAAGACACTCTATGGTGTCAATAGAGGGGCAAGTGAAAAGGATGGAACCTAGCCTAGTCAATGAGCGCGGACATTTGGGGCAAATGCCCATCGCTCCTGTCGTCGACTGCGGGGCCTCTAATACCAATTGCCGTTACCCTGCTTCTGGATGTTAATACTCAGATTCAGATTCAGGTGACTGGAGAGGTGGGAGCAAAAAGAAAAATAGACAGATCACCCTCACCCCCCACCCCCAGCCACCCTAGTGGGAGATGTCAGGAGGGAGATAACATCGAAAGAAAGAAGAGTTTCTTTTGATGAACCAGGTGCATAACGCGTAAGAAGCCCGGGAAGGAGGGCTGAGGGGCTTCCACTGGAGGGTGCGTTTGCTTGGATCCCAGGTGCTCAGCGACTCCCAAACTGGACCCGAGTAAACAAAATATTTGGTCGCTGAGACCCCCATTAACCTTACCTGGGAGTCGCTAAAGGCACACAGCCCAATCAGGAGCCTCCTTTTCAATGAGGCTGCCATATTCCCTGCTCCAGCCTGCCAATCACAAGCAAAACGGCCAATGGCCGGGCCAGCCGGGGGTCAGGTGACGGCGTGCCAGCGGGCTCCCCATTGGCTCAGAGCGAGCTGCCTCCTGAGTTGGTTTATGTGCAAGGAGTGAGTGATTGACTTTATCAGTCCAAGGACACTACTCTGTTGGAGAAGAGGGTGGTGAACTCCTTCTCTTCCTTTCCTAGGAGCCCGGCTTGCTGGGGCTGGTGGGGAGGGGGCTCTCTGACCCACAGCAGGCTACTTCACCACCTCAATATCATCATTTTTATTTCGGTGTCGGGGTGGTGGGCGGGAAAGGTTTGTGCATGGTGCAAGATTTGCCAACTCCACTCCCCAGTTATTATTTTTGTTATTTTTTCTTTGTGCTTTTAGTAGTTTCGTAAAGCAGATCTGGTACCAGAGCTTCTCCTCCCTCCCTCCACCTTCTTCTTTTCCTCCTCCTTCTTCTCCTCCCTCCTCCTCCTTATCCCTCCTCCTTCTTTTCCCCTCCTCCCTCATCTCCCTCTGCAGGAGACACTCAGACCCTGAAAGTTGCTGCCCCTGGCTGCTCCTTCGGGGTCTCTGCGCTGTCCCTAGTCCTTGGGCTTTCTGCAGCCGCCGCTCCAGCGACTTCTTCTTCCCGCGCCTCAGACGTCGTCTCCTTCGCCACCGTCGCTGGTGCCTCTGCCGGGGCGCCCTCCATCCATGACGATGCTACTGGACGGAGGACCGCAATTCCCTTCGCTGGGAGTCGGGGGCTTCGGAGCCCCGCGCCACCATGAGATGCCCAACCGGGAGGCGGCAGGGATGGGGCTCAGTCCTTTCGGGGACGCTTCGCATGCCGCGGCCGCCGCCTTCAAGCTGAGCCCAGCAGCGGCGCACGACCTGTCCTCGGGCCAGAGTTCGGCGTTCACTCCGCAGGGCTCGGGCTATGCCAACGCCCTGGGTCCCCACCATCATCACCATCACCACCATCATCACCACGCCGGCCAGGTGCCCTCGTACGGGGGAGCCGCGGCCGCCTTCAACTCCACGCGCGACTTTCTGTTCCGCCAGCGAGGCTCGGGCCTCGGGGAGGCGAGTTCTGGGGGCGGCCAGCATGGGCTGTTCGCTGGCTCGCCGGGGAGCCTGCACGGGCCCCCGGGCATCGCAGAGCCCCCGGGCTACTTGCTCTTCCCCGGGCTGCCCGAGCAGAGTCCGAGTCACCCATCGCCCACGGCCCACGTGGACAACAACCAGGTGCACTTGGGACTGCGAGGAGAGCTGTTCGGCCGTCCTGACCCTTACCGCGCCGTGGGCAGTCCTCGTACCGACCCGTACGCCGCTGGCGCCCAGTTCCACAACTACCCCCCGATGAACGTGAACATGGGCATGAACGTGGCGGCCGCGGCGGCGGCGCACCACGGCCCGGGCGCCTTCTTCCGCTACATGCGCCAGCCCATCAAGCAGGAGCTGGCGTGCAAATGGCTCGAGGAGGCACAGTTGGGCCGGCCCAAGAAGAGCTGCGACCGGACCTTCAGCACCATGCACGAGCTGGTGACGCACGTCACCATGGAGCATGTGGGGGGGCCGGAGCAGAACAACCACATCTGCTACTGGGAGGAGTGCCCTCGGGAGGGCAAGTCCTTCAAAGCGAAATACAAACTAGTCAACCACATCCGCGTGCACACAGGCGAGAAGCCCTTTCCCTGCCCCTTCCCGGGATGCGGCAAGATCTTCGCCCGCTCCGAGAATCTCAAGATTCACAAAAGGACACACACAGGTAAGTAAGGGCGCCGGGCGGGAGGGTGCGGGGTGGGGGGAAGGCTTGGGGCACAGTGGGGAGGGAACTGGGGCCGGAGCGATGAGCTGCCCTCTCCTCCTCCTTGCCCTGACCCCTGTGCAATACTCCGGCTTCCCCAGGTGTCCACCCGGGCCAACAAAAGCCTAGGCGACAGCCCGGGTGGATGGGGGTCGATTAAAAGGGCTTGAAGAGGAGGAGGAGGAAGAGAAGGAGGAGGGCGGGGGAACGCGCACTGAGACAACCAGGGAAGGAGAGACAGAATGACAGACACCCCCGCTGCCCTCCTCCGAACATGGTCATTTTCAGTTCTCGATGGCCCAGTTTGCTGACGACTTTGTCCCCAGTTTAACTTCCCGGGCTGAATGGGAAAAAACCTTCTGGAAGCGGGCTTCGCCCTCCTCCCCATCGTCTTCTGAGAGCTAATTGGGACCCGCGAGCTCCCCAACCCCTATCCCCGACCCCCAGCAGCGGCGAGGAGAGCAGGGCTCCTCCACCCTCCGTGCGTCCTCTTTTTGTCTCCCTTTCGGGGACTGATGATATGAAGGAAATCAGTCAGGGTCTGAGTGAGGATGACTCTCGGGCGCCAGAGCTCCCCGCTTCCATTCGGAGGAAGGCAAACCATAGAAATGCTAATGTCATCTAATTTTCTGTTACTTCCGCTCTTTTTTAGTCTTGATTGGCACATCTCCTAATTAAATCACTGATACTTTTGTCAAACTATTTTTATTTGGAGTTCTAGGTTCCATTCAGGGCTCCGCGAGGAAAGTTAAACTCAAAAAGGCGAGAGCGACACATTTTCGTGTCTTGTTCAGCACGTCTTGTAAAACTGTCTGGAGCTGCTGAATTTATATAGTTTTCGCCATTGGAACCTGAAGTGCTCTCGCTCTGCCTTTAACACTTCACTGGGCACCACCGCTGCATTTGAAAGGGGGCAAATTAAAAGCCACAAAGAACGGATTGAATTGAACTGTAACGTAACAAATCCTATTGTCCCCCACTTTGGGGCTAATACCTCAGCGAGGTGTTCTCTAGGGATTTGGGGAGGTTGCTGAGTAGAGGCGAGCCAAGGAGTTAGGGAGAGAAAGTCGGGTTTTCGTAGAGATTGATTTTCCCCCCTCTGCTCCTCCTCCTCCAACTCAAATTGGTCAGTTTCTGGCTGGACTTAGTCCCCTCCTCCCAACCCTCTCCAACAGAATTCCCGAAGCGCTGCTTACTTCCCCCCGGAAGGCTACTTAACTGTTTCTGATTTTTGCAGGTGAGAAACCCTTTAAATGTGAATTTGAAGGCTGTGATAGACGCTTTGCAAACAGTAGTGACAGGAAGAAGCACATGCATGTGCATACATCCGACAAGCCCTATATCTGTAAAGTGTGTGACAAGTCTTATACACACCCCAGCTCTCTTAGGAAACACATGAAGGTAATTATCTCTTGATTAGCGGTTCGTTGTTGATAAACAGTCATCTTCTAGGCTCTTTCCAAAAAGGAAAGTGCAAGCGAGGCAAACCTTGCTCCTGCGCCTTAAATCCGATTTTTCCCCCACCTTTGACACCTTTAGCCCGTGGAGGAGGGAGGGGGGAGGAAGGGACGGTAGGGAACTCTGGGAGGGGGCAAGGGAAGGGGTAGGGGAGTGGGGATAGAGGTTGGGGGTTGGTTGGGAGGGTGGAACTAAGAGGGAACAATTGGCTGTTTACGTGCAGAGCTTGGAACTGGTTGCAACTGATGAAGCCAGTGTATTTTAGTTTGCTAGTATGTTTATTTCTCCCCCGTTCCCCCCATACCCCACCCCACCCCACCCTACCCCCCCGGTTCCATCCGAAATGGATGCCGTGACTCTGGAGGCTAACGGCAGCGTGGTTCATTTCCTTCTTTCTCTGTCTCTGATAAAAGAAGAAAGAAAACGCTTCAGTTACTGTTGCATATCTGGCCACTGCCTACTCAGTTGGGGCTAGGCTCATCTCTCTTCTGTATAGCCTGAGAGGAATCAGTGCTCTAGAGAAATTAAGATTTTACAGCCCTGGAAAGAATAACTGGATGTCCTAATTGGAGGGGGAAAAAAGTTGGAAGGGTCACTATAAGAAAACAGAAATTCTGCTTTCCGTTATGTAGTGCTTCATTTCGGTTAAGAAATGTTTTCCATGATACAATTTCTGTCTGTTTACAAAATTGGTGGTAAGCAGGAAACATGTAATGACCTTTATTTACCTTTTATCGGGTAGATAAATGATCCTGCTCTTAATGTGCGAGAATTCTGCTATCTTTGCTTAACCGTTGCTAGTTGGAACTATATTATAATATATACATGTTAATTTTAGGTTCATGAATCTCAAGGGTCAGATTCCTCCCCTGCTGCCAGTTCAGGCTATGAATCTGCCACACCACCCGCTATAGCCTCTGCAAACAGTAAAGAGTCCGCTAAAACCCCTCCTTCCGCAGTTCAGACTAGCACCAGCCACAACCCGGGACTTCCTCCCAATTTTAACGAATGGTACGTCTGAGGACAAAAGCAAACACCAAAAACCCCATTAACTATAGGACGGACCAAATGCGTTTAAAAAAAAAAAAGAAAGAAAGAAAAAAGAAAACTGAGACCAATCCAGACGGAAATGGAGTTCTTTACGCAAGCAACCGTCTAGGGCTACATCTTGTTAATTGCAATTATCCAGGAAGGTCTTTGGCAAGGTCTGGCAAGATCTCTGAGGTAACCCTGCCCTTTTCTCAGGATTAGAAAACCTGTTTTGGCATTCTAATGAATTTCGTTTATTTTCTAAATTTCCCCCTTCCCCCAACTCAACCCCCCAAATCCTGCCGAATTGATGCCTTCATTTTAACACTCTGGCCCTGTTTTTTTTCTTGAGAGGAAGTTAAAAAAAAAAAAAAGGCCTTTCGATGGTGTGATGTTAAAATGATGGGAATCTTTCTCCGGCTGGGTGGTGATTGTTTAAACTCTTGCAGTCTTAAACCGTGCCAAAGTCCTGCAATGTCTTGAACTTTATTTCTCAAAGCATTACACTTGTGAATGTATTCTTGTCTAATGGGGTCGACACTGTTGAGTGTTTTTTTTTCAGGATGAGGCTGTGGTGTTGCTCTACACAGATGGTGACCGTCTAGTATGAAGTAGCATTTCGTAATAACTTTTTCTTTCTTGTAAATACTTACCCATGATGCCAATATTTATCGTTTGTAATTTAATTATTGATACAAGTGCCGGGAACTGAACAATATTTATGGGGGAATATGTTTTCTAACAAACTCTGTACAGCTTTGGATTATAACTGCTTTAGCATTAAAAGTCTGATTGTTTGGAAAGAAGAGCACAATTTACAGTTTTGGAACCACTGACTCCTTTTTCTCTCTTTATTATTATTATTATTATTATTTTTTATAACAGCATCCCCCTCCCCCCCTACACTGGGGATGAGCGAACTATAAATCCGGTTTGGTGGGATTGGGGAAAAAAAAAAACAAAATTAATGCAGATTCCTTTTTTTATTTTTAAATTGTGGAATTTTTTTTTTCTATCACAATGTAGGTTACTTACAGTGTCAGTTTCAATCTGGGAAGACCCTCCTTTTTCTTCTTTAGCTCATATGAGTGTTTTACTGCAAGTTTAATATGTTTGCCCTGGATTTTCGGCATGCAAATCAAATATTACTAATCAATTCAGTTAGTGACCATGACATCTCAATCTTGCACTTCAAAGACTGAGAAGCTGGATTTAAATGTCCCTGCACTGCCTATGTAAACAGAAGGTAACAATGAGTTTTATGTCCCTTAGTTTCTTTCCCTTGCATTAAAGATGGAACATTGCAGCATTATGCATGTATATATGTCTATTCTATATAGAGATACAGCCATATGCCTATATATGTCCGTATCTATATATACACATATATATGTATTTTCAAGAAGCTAGCATAAGTTTGGAACAGTTTGGTGGTGAGTAAAAAGGCCAGTTCGATGTGTTTACTTTTGCTTAAAGTGCTTCTTAAAAGAACCCTAGTTTGTTGGAATTCTCGATGGCTAAGGTGGATTTGTTTTGCTGTATATATAGTTGAATACCCAGCTATCACTCATAACTGTGTTGCTAATAGCCAATATGATGATGATTGCAGCAGCTCTGTAGAGACATTATGGAAAGAAAAAAAAACATTTGCAAAAAAATATGTATTTTTAAACCTCATGATTTGTAGGCAAAGATGTGAAGAGCATTATTTCCATTAAAATCAGTAACACGAAACGTGGCTGTTTGGTTTGTGATAAAAACAAAACAAAACAAAACAAAACAAAACAAAACATTAACGTTCTTCTCCATTGTATCTCCACTTGGACAAAAACACAGAATTTTCTTAAAATGGGCATTTTAAAAAGTCACTGCTGATCAATGAATTGCTTTATTGTTATTAATTTTTTGGTGAGGAGTGGGCAAGGCTAAAGTGACCTTTATTCATGAATTTAGAGAACTTTAAATAGGAAATGCTAAACACTTCAAAGACCGTTCTGCATACATGCCACATTTGCAAGTCTGGGGATGGGAAGCTGATAATAGGTAACTGTAAAATATTCAGGAATTTAATGAATAGGTTTATAATTAATACTTCTCTCTCTCTTGGGCCAATGCTTGGGCTTAAAAAAATAGCATAAAGTGATTTTTGATCTTTTGCACCATCATTTTCAAACCTGTAATTTTTTTTGGGGGGGGAGAGGAATGTTTTTTTTTTTTTTGCACTCCCTAATGTAGTAGCTACATTGCAGCATTTTTGCATCTGGGACTCTTCCATGTGCTAGTGGCCTCTTTGTCTAACTTGCAAAACAAAACAAACCAAACTGAACCAGATACTCCAATACTATCCACCAATCTCAAATCAGCTACTCTGGAGATCTGGCGCTGATTAACTGCAATTTTATTGGAGGCCCAGACTCCTGTTTAAAAATTAACCAATAATTTAAAAGAAAGGCTACCTGCGGGAGTTTGTCAATAGAGTATGAATTATTGATGAGGTCCTTAATTCACACTGGCTTGCCTGCAAGGCAACTTTGTGCCTGGGCCTGGAGGCCCGGAGACCTGCAGCTGGCCCCCTGCAAACAGCTCTGCTGGGGGAAAGGGGAAAAAGAGATTGGCTTTTTGTAAAAGGGGGGCTCCTGCACTTTTCTCTTCTCCAGTAGTTTGAGGCCAGCGGCAAGAGAAGACTGGGTACTCAGTCATCACACATTGGACCTGCTACACGTGGGGGTGGAGGGTGGGGGGAGGACCTCAGACTCCTTCCTGCACCCCCCCACCCTCAGCTTGACCTTGACATTGAGGAAGGTTATTGGACCCAGGTCTCCATGGACTAGAATAGCTCCCTAGTTCAGTATTCCTCCTTCTGTCCAAATCCCAGATGATTTTCAAATCTCAGCAAAAGTTTCCTTAAAAATGAAAGAGGTTTGAACATGGAGGAGTTTGAGTAAAAATATTGGGATTGGGGGAGGGGGGATTCTTTTGAAACATGCCTTGAATCATTTCCCTTGTCATTTTTCCCTCAACCCAACTTTAGGAAAGAGGGAAGGGACCGAGAGTGGTGGCAAGACATAGGCTTCAGTTGAAAAAGTTTTGAACTCCACGTAGTGGCTTTGAAGTCATTCTAGCTTAGCATTCGGAGAGACCAGAAAAAGCAAACTATCGGAACGAGCATAATCATAATTAATAACAATGATGAGGCCACCAAGGAAGCCTACCAAATGTCCGAAGTGCCCAGGTCCCCCGTTACTGGGGGAGGGGAAGCGGTCGGGCAAATTTCCCTAATCTTTATTTCCCCGGGCTTGTGGGGAAGGGGGGGGGGGATGGGAAGCAAGTGAAACTTTGCATTTGACATCCTAGCTAAGAAAAGCTTACAAGTGTCCTGTTATTCAAGAAACGTTGTTGGGGCTGCGAAGTTCCGTTGTTTTCCTTTAATCTCCAACAGTCTAATTTGGAAATAAAACCTGCTGCTCGTAGCTCTGTAGTTGTTGAAGCAGCAGCAGCAACCCCAGAGGAGCCACTGTTCATTTGGGGGTCAGGCCAGGCCGGCCCTGGTTCTGTCGCTGGTGATTTGGGCGCGGGAGGGAAAGCGGGCGAGTTTATTTCGCGTGTGTTTACGCTACCAACTCAAAATTACCGCTTTTCCTCCCGAAAGCGTTGGCAGGTGAAAGATCAGGGTGGCGGCCAACAAACGGCCACAGGCGGTTTCTCTTCAACCCAGACTGAGGCGGGAGAGGGAGGGGAACGGCAGCTCCCCTCACTCCCAGCTACCCGAGAAAAGCTGCGCTAGGACAGCCTTCCTCGCCCCTCCCCTCTTCTTCTTTCTCTACCCCTCATCCCGGCCAATGGAGGGGGCTGGGGAGGGGAGTGAAGGCCCTGATCTTTTTTGCTCAGGGGTTCCGGAAAGCATTGAATGCCTCTTGCCTAAGTACTCTCCTAAAAGACAGGCAGAGTTCCTGCTCCTGCACGGAAACTGACAATTGAACCCCAGACCCCGCCTCCGGACCCCGGCGTCCGAGCGCCTGTGATGGGACCTGCCACACATTCCTGGTCCATCCCCAGCAGATCCTTAGCAGGTTTTAGTACCAGCTCCGAGGGATTTTGGGGAAAAGGCATTAAACCTCTCCTCTCATTTCTCCTCCCCCAAAACCCTCAGACCTCTCCCTCCCACCAGCGACGGCCGCCGGCGGGAAGGCCCCGAGAGGGAGTGAGAGCGTACGGGTGAGTGGGAACAGCTTGACAGGCACCTGGGCACCAGGGAGCATCAAAGGGTTAAGCAAGACCCACGAACAGCGGGCTCGCCTGGCCACTCCCCAGCCGCAAACTTTGGCTGTGCGGTTTTCGTCTCGGGTCCTCCGTGTCATCACCAAACCCACGCCCGCCTGCCCAACCCAGGGCTGCGTCCGAGGGAGCGGGCCTCCCTTGCAGCATCCTCATGGTCCCGGGGCCGTTGCTGCTAGACCTGAGGCCAGTCCTGGCCCCTGCGGCCACGGCCAGGAGCAGAGGAGAAAAGTTGGCCACCCCAGAGCCTCCGGGTATTTTGGGCTCGAACACACGCATGTTCGCAATGGGAGGGCTGCTGTCAGCTGAAGGATAGGGGGGCATTGGCTGGGAGCAAAGAGGGGACTCCAGACAGAACCCCACCCCTTCTGTGCCCCTTGGATTTAGAGAGTTCTGGGGACCCCCTTCTCCGCAAGCCACTAGCCAAATGCGCAGGCGCAGTGTACCCCCTCACCCCCCAATCCTGGGCCCCGAGATTGGTTAGGGGAGGGGAGGGGGTGGCGCGCTCTGGGCTCGAGTTGAAAGGGACTTTACCCCTAGGAGCTGAAGCCGCCGCGGGGGCGGGGCTGGTTTCGGGGCGGCTCTGAAGCCGCGAACATGGCGGCTGGATGGGAACCCCCTGCGGAGTGCAGCCGGCCGTGCTGAAGCAGTGGGGCTGCGGAATTATTCTGTCCTGCCTCTTCAAGTCCCTTGTTATTTCGCAGCCCTTTGCTCCTC